ATTTGGCTTTTTTAGTCAAATGTTTTTTTGCTGCTTGGATAGCATTATAAAGGCTTTTTTGATGAATACTTATTTCTAGAAATTTGCTTTTTAGTAATTGACCAATAGGTTGTGCACCTGATATTTCACTTTTTACACAAAACTCAATAAATTGAATCATATCACTATTAAATTTATGATATTTTGCGATTGTAGTGATAGGTGAAGGTGTCATTGGATAATTATGTTGATTCACAACAGTATCCCTTTTGACACCAAATTCGTACATTGGGATATTTAAATTCGTATATTGGGACATTTAAATTCATACATCGGAACATTTAAATTCATACATTGGGACATTTAAATTTGTACATTAGGACAATTTAATTTAGATTAATTAAAGCGCAATATCTCGTGATATAGTGATCCAATTTTGATGAGTTTAGTACCATTAGAATCGCCTCAGTAAGAGGATTCTAATGGTACTAAAATCATCAAAATTGGATTACTAGATCACGAGATATTATGCTTTAATTAATCTAAATTAAATTGTCCTTTTGTACGAATTTGAAAGTCCCAATGTACGAATTTAAATGTCCCAATATATAAATTTAAATGTCCCAATATATGAATTTAAATATCACTCACAATCAGTAACTTTAGATTGTTTGTTTCAATGATTAGTAGGGTTTAAAACCTTTTTGGTTGATATTTACTTGCACAACTACATTTCAAATTAATTCTTGTTATGACTTTGTTCTTATTTTCAATAAAACATTCACTTTGTTTTCTACGAATACTAAACCCTTTTTCCTTTCCATAATTATTAAGGTACTCTTTAGCTTTGTCCCATGTGTAAAAACTCTGTCCTACATATAATCCTGATGGTACTACATTATTTTCATCATCTGAAGAATCAGTATTAAAAATTTCATTGCAGTCATTAATTTCATGGTAGGTATTGTAAGGTCGGAAAAACGTGACCTAATAATCGCTGCGCCAACTCACGTTACCCGGTTGTGACGATCTCTTGCCC